AAATATTGCTGAGGGAAAGGAAAAGGTCAAATAATGCTGGGGGAGGATAGAGATGATCTGGTTAGTTTACATGGATGGCACTATAGTGTAACTGCGCTTCCTGAAGAAAATATGTGAGGACTATAGACAACAAATAGAAAGGTGTGGGAGGTTTTCACCATAAAGGTTTCCTCCCGGGTAAATATTATAGACTGTAGACACCTGCATGGGCCCATAGGGCGCCAAATCAGGATAATGAAATCAAATTCAAATGCTATTCGTATTAGGCTCACGTCATACATCCAAAGGAGTGATATGGGTACGTGATAGATGCAGACTCACTATTACCGTTGTAGATCCTTGCCTCTACACCCTCTTTCTATTCACAGCCGTGCTTATCAAGGTCAAAAGCTACCCTTATAGTCTATAGCCGTACAGCTTGTTTCGAAACTAGAACAAATGAGTTGCTTTAAAATACATATCTTTGAAATCACGAGATGAATCAAGCATATAAAAATCCTCTAAAAAAGTCCGGGCGGTGAAAAGAATCGACCAGTGTCACAAAAACATCAAATAGGTTTAAGCCAATTTGTGGTTCATAATTGAAGTGAAAATGAATTAAGAAAATGTTTTTTCGTACTTTTTAGGACCGAAATACAGGTAATTTAAGCAGGCTACGATAGTACGGTAGGAGGACAGGAACTCAAGCGCTTAGGGTCCTTCAGATGAGGAATCACTGGGCGAGGAGATGGAATAGATGGTGTTATGTTGGGGAAAGTATTGACAAACTATGTGATTGTAGCTCGTACGTAAAACCTCGAGTCAACAAAGCCTATGTTCTCACTACTCGAGATCTCTGCGAGTGCTACTTCTAGACTACTAATAGCAGTCTAGCAGAACAATACTTGAGCTGTGAAAGACGCTTTTCTCGCTCTTTGGCTTCCATCTCAGTGTGAAATTCTAGATGATACTTCTTTACCGGATAACTTTCTTCCTCAGTTTTGCCTCCGCGGGCGTACTACTTTCTGCTTCTGATATAGGGCATCAAGTAGTTGGTAGTTTCTTTGCATGGTTAAGAAATTCCGAGCGTTACATCCTGACTTCGTTAATATTAGACTGCCATTTTATTGGGTTGGAGATCTCTAGGGTCTAGTTTTGGCAGTAGGTCGCAGCTGAGCACATTGCCTTCTTTTTCTAGATGTCTATGTATTTACTCCACTTGACTGAACTACGAAAGATATGATATAGCGTACATCGTTCTCTGGAAACCTTATTCGATTTGTCCATCACCAGGATCGGGGAGCCACGCGCCATAAGCACCTTGATATCTTACGTTGATATTCAATTTTAGTATAATAGCTAGTCCATGGCGAGAGGAAATGAAAAGGAATAATCAAAAATTCGAGATTTGAAATTTTTTAAAAGTTTGCTTGTGAATCGATATAACAAGAGCGTTGAAATTATGGAGTACAGAGATAAGTCAGGTGATGGTTAATGGAAGTAATTGATGAAGGGTTTGGTTGTTGAGTTTCCTATTATTTCTGTGTTGGGATACACTTTGTCGATCCTACTAGGCTCGATAATTAGTAGTCCCGACCGACTGGTGTTTGGCGAATGGAGTGAGTGAGTGAGTGTTTATTATCCTAAAAAGTCTATAACTATGTAAGGACATGTAGGTTCTTTCTGCCTACAGGCCGGGAGTATCTATGCCTCGGGTAGTGTACTCCCTCCTAAGCCTCCTTTACGACTTCTTTCCAGCAGTAATACCCCTACAGGTCTTCATTCGAGTACACACTAAGAGGAGCCGTTATCCAGTCATTATCTCCCCTCTCCAGCCAACTAAACGATGGCCATTTGCGGGTGTGTAGCTGCAGGGAAAAGTCTCAAAAACCACTGGGTGCGGGGCTCTCCTATGACGAAGAGGCCGGCCAGCTGGGCGCAGCAGACCTGTGTATACCTAAGAGCGTCTCTCAACCTTTCTAACCTCCTCCTTACTCCTCCCTGATTCATGCCGCAGGACAAATCGTAGGTCGTGAAAGGATGTCAGGAAAGTCTTGGTCGAGAGTGACAGTCGCGAAGGAGCCTAGCCATGCATCCAAAAGTCGATACGGACGTGGGGTTGTCGAGTAACTCATGTATTCCAGATGCCCTCCTGGCTAGTAGATTCGGAATTTATGATTAGTAGGGACGATAAAGTAGACAAGTCGAAATCTGCTTTTCTTGAGGGCGGAAGGGTCTTTTACTTTGCTTTCGTGGGATTTTTGTTCGCCCGCCGGTGGGTAGCACATGTTGTGATATAATGAGGGCTTCTCTGACTACCGTTGTAGCGTTTGGTACCGCATTATCTCTCCTCATTCCCAGCATCATTATCGTCGTCTTTGTCGTCTTATGTGTTATGTGTTATCGGAAGCGTATCTTTGACGGAGGGGGAGATAACTCAGCTCAAAGTTGATAAGGTGTTACTCAATCTCGGCTCTGCAGACTCTACAGTGAGAGCTGGAGGTTCGTAGGGGACACCACTGACAGGTGTTGAGAATAGTCCCCCTTTGGCGAATGGAGATTGTGTATACCCTGTGCTAGCGTTGTTTACTGCTGTTAATAGGAGATCCCGCATGGGCTATCTATTGGGATTAAAAGGAGTCTGGTACCTGTGTTTAGTAGAGTAGTCGAGTTGACATCCTTTTATCCTTCATTATTGCATAAGCTTCCCTCTACCAATAAGTCCACGAACTAAGTAGTGGGTTATACATTTCAATAAAGGGGTTAGTAACCTCCGCACTCCTATAGGAGCTCGAGCTCAAACGAGGCCGAACTTTATCAACATAACGACCATGAAGTATATAAGCCTCGTCTCACTTGAATTACCGGGCCAATTAAGACTTTACACATGAGTTGAACATTTCAAGTCTAAACGTTCAGGGATTGCGACTTTTTGGCGCTGAAGTGCAAAATTCTTCTTAATGCCTTTCCATTCTTGTACTTTTCATATCCTTTCAGTCCAAGCGTCGCCCCATCTCATCTAGGGGTCGTTTCATTCATTAAAGGCTTGATCTAGTCGAATACTGAGGCCTCTTCTGTTTTTCTTCCATTTTTTTCAATGATGATATTTTCTTATTTCATCTGTTACTACAACTATTTTAGAACCTTGAAATCTGTCTATCTCCCAGTCTTGTCTCGTAGCTGCTATACTCCCGACTTTGGAGAAATAATATGCGTCAGATGCTCTAGTCGATATGCCGGCCAAATGTCATGCCAATTTTTTAGGTGGCGATTTGTCAGACCGAAATATTGGTGCCCTTGGCCAATATGTAGACGTATAGAAGATTAGTATGTCGACCGTTGTTTCATAATACCCAGCGCTTGTGTGGATTTGAACGATCTCTTAGGCCTTAGATTTTGAATTGCTTTGGTAGATGGCGTGGGTATTTTGGAGAAGGTGACAAGATAAATTAATCTGTGATAGGTCTTTGAGGACCTATCAAATTTGTGAATATCAGTTGCCGTTATTTGTACATCAGGTTGGTTCGACCCTCTCCCCAGCTCGTATTTTGGGTGTGAATGATAGATTTTGTCAGATTGTACAGTCGCGAAATCCCTGCTAGTCGTGTTCTTGACCAAAAACTTACAAATGCCACTTCTTTCGTTATTCAACCAGTTGAAAGTTCGCACATCAAACCTTTGTCTTGACTCAATCTTGGCCCTGAGAGAATACCTTATCTTCAGTTTCTCTGAAACTGCTGACAAAAGATCATTTTATGGCGTGTAGTTCCTAGGACGTGTTCCTATTGCAGGGAATGCCATGCGCGAGCAATAAAGAGACTGACCAGGGGGACGAAACCAGACACATGTCAGCGGTGTCCTCTACGAACCTCCAGCTCTCCCTGTAGAATCTGCAGAGCTGAGATTGAGTAACACAGTCCTCACTTCGATGAGGATCCCCTATCGCTTTCCTGGACTGTTTCGTTCTCATCTCTTAACACATCCCCCCTATCATCATTATCATGAAGCTAACCACGATCAGATCAGACGGTATGGTCGAAGCACATCTCATCACCAACACTTGATCAAGGAGGAGAAGCCATCCGATGAGTTTCCGGAGCGGACCCAGTACCCGATACGGAGATGGTGGATTGGATCAAGTTTGCCTCTAATGTTACAAGGAAGAGCGATATAGATGAATATGCGCACCTCATATGGTCTCGGTTTCTAGGCCTCGCCTGGCTGGGGCTGCAGGTTTTTTGAGACTTATTCCCGCGCACGCAGTTTCCATTGCTACCATTTTCATTTTTTGGGTAGAAGGATCTGTGGAAAAGCTGGCCGAACTCCACGAGTAAATACTGAGCTGAAAGGCTATTCATCACGGGCAATATATCAATGATCGTACAAGTAACAAAAGAGAACAAGAGCACTGTACAAGGTGCGGTCTGAGTCAGAGAGGAGCTCAATGTGCTATATAGTCCTAGACTCAAGTGGCACAATAAACCACACATACACCGAGCCTAGGGAGAGATCTAGATAGACATAGGGCTATAGGAATATTAATGTGTAACAAAAATATGTATAAAATTTTCACTAGTCCCCTTATCACCGCCTCAAAGCCTAGAACAGATGTCGCCAGTGCTACTTATCACAAGCCAGGAAGTAGTTCACTGACCAATTAAATATTACGTTGCGCGACAACAAGGACCAAGTGAGCTCCTAAGCCAAACTCACAAGGGGCGCGACTCTGACAAGTTTGCCAACTCCAAACAGCATAAATAATGAAAACATTTGTTCACATAAATGATCGATGTTTCTTCAGCTTATCCTGACTCATCTATGATTACGTTTACCCTGAACTCTGACACAGACAGGGTACGGGATGTATCAACGGTCTACTATGGACTCGATTCAGGTTGTCCGCAGCCGATGATCACGTGGATCATCTAAGTGCTAGTTGTGAGATTTTTCTATTATCACTTACATCAACTTTCGTGAGTATATTAATCACAGCTCTACATATTATCTTCAAAATACTAACAATGACCGAGGAATCATACTTAAGATTACACATCACACCGCTAACGCCTGAACTCCTAGGAACTATTTTGCCTTCCCAAGTCTTGCCTAACGCCCGCAACCTCTCATACCACACAGTTCAGACCTTCCCAGAAAAGAGCTACGGGTTTGTAGATTTGCCATACATAGACGCTGAGAGTATCAAGAAAAAGTTACACGGGTCTATTGTTAAAGGGACAAAAATGCGCATTCAGGCTGCGCGGCCGAAACCAGAGCGAGCTTCAGAGGAAGAGTCACGATCAGTATCACAGCCAAAACTCAAAAAGATAAAGAGGTCCAGAAATGAGTTACCTGCTATAGAAATAGGTCAAAGGAAGGTCAAAAGGGGATGGACCACACCTGCACAAGATCTGAAGAAGAGTAATGAGGGCGATATCAAGATGAATAGTGTTGTGAGATCTAAGTTTACCGCAGGTGCCGAGTGCCTATTCAAGACTGTATTGCCGGAAAATATTGCGTCTAAGAATAGTAGTTTTCTGGAAAAAACAAAGCATAAGAATAAAAAGAGGAATATGAAAGGAATCGTGGTGCATGAGTTCGAAAATACTATCAAACATAATTCTTTCCTGAGACCTCGTCACGCGGTTAGCACCTCAAACAGTGTTGCCCAATTTGTAGAAGGGAAAGGCTGGTTAAATGAGGATGGAATCCTTGTGGAAGGTATTAAAGCTTCTCAGCGAAAAAGTACCATCGAGAAAGAAGAGGCTATAGCGAAAAATCTTATGCCTAAGTCAGACACATTAGAAGATCAGGACAGACACAATAGTTCGCCAAAAAATCTTGGCACATGTAAAAATCTTGCACAAGCTGATACCACAGACGAAGGAATATTTCAAAAAATACCAGCCATACTTGATGTGGAATCCATTTGCAACGAAATAGACGAGAATTCTACAAACTCATCTATCTCATTTTCGAATTCTTTGTCTGATCACGAAGATGATAGACTAGACTTAAACACAGTTCCATTTAGCGCTTCTAAAACAAGTAGTCATAAATCTTTCAAGACCTCAAGCTCAATTCATTCAAGCGCATCATTGTCAACTTCTTCACCAAATTTTCCTTCTCATGACTGGCTAACTTCTCAAGAAGATTCTGCCTGCTTGGAATCTAGATTATCAGGCCAGTCGACACCTCATGCAACTAACGTGAACCTAAGTATTCAGGTCCCACTTGCAACTACACATCCACTAGAAGCGCTTTACAAAAAATCTAAATCTCAGGAAACTTCTAATAACTCTACGTTTAAATTCTTTACATCTAAAAGCGAAAGCGATAGCAACGATTTTCGATCACCTTCACCTGTTCAACAACACATATCTGTTCCCCTCACGCCTTATACCCGCCGCGATATCGAACATCGGACCGTCCGTAGCGCAGCACCGACACCTGATACTGCACACGCAAATAAGTGCTTTAAATGGTCAAAATCAAATGATGATGATTTTACCGAGGAAGATGAAGATGATGACAAGCCTGAGAAAGATGCTAGTGTCAATGCTGTAATTGGAACATCAGGCAATGCTCATAAATTGTCTGCAGAAACGAGATTAAAAGAAGTTCAGAGCGAGTTTCAAAAGTGGTTCTGGGAAAACCGGGGGCATGCCAATCGGAACTGGAAGCAGCGTCGCCGGAGTGCATTAAAAGAGCGGCGGCAGAGTTCGAAGAAAGCCCAGTAAGTTTTCTCAAGTTACGGTAAGATGGTTGATAGAAATAGACCTTTAACTATTGTCAGTATTTAAGTTTCGCTGTATTCAGGAGGCGACAGTTACGAATTTATATCCTACGTATTCTTCGTATTACTCCAGACTACACTTAATATTATTAACCCACGATACCTCATCATCAAGACATATGAAAACCTGACATCTATCTCATGATATGAGGCGTTTAGATCTAGAAACATCATGGCTAAGAAGCCAAAAATTGTGGCATACTTATGCAGGTGATTCAAAATGCGCGGTCCTATCAAACTAGTACAGCCCACAGCGGTCTTTACGACGGCCCTTCACTGAGCATAAATGATGTATTTCACATATATATTGAAATATAATCCCCTAGTTAGTGGGAGTTGTTAGTCAGAAGAAGCTTGTGCAATCATGAGTGATAAAAAGATGTGAATTCGACAACTCTTCAAAGAGCAATTATCAGACTCTTTTTAATCCTAATATATAGCCCGCTTGTGATCTCGTACTAACAGCAGTAAATAACACAAGTCTAGGGTACATGCAATCTCCGTTGGCTGGACACCAGTCGGCTGGGACTAATTGTTATCGAATCTAGCAAGAACGACTAAGTGTATCCCAACTCCAAAATAATAAGAAGCCCAACAACTAAACTAGTCGTCAATAACTGCCATTAATTATCACCTGACTTATCTCCGTGTCCCATATTTTCAAAATTTTATAGTGTTATAATTAAATAAGCAATGTGACTTTATTAAAATAAACAGCTCAAATTAGAAAAATTTATAAGCGCGCCATCAGAAATTATTGACTCATCTTCACGGGTTGGTATGGATAACTATTATCCAATAGATTCTAGCAGCGACCTATCAGCTCTAGGAAGCCGGCTAAGACTAATGCTCCACCCCCCAGCTTTGACCGTGTAAAAATTCAGTACGCTCCAAATATCTAGCATAGCCAAGGACCACTGTAACCGGATAGAAGTTAAAATCAAACATAAGCGATTCTAGGATAGATGACTTATCATCAATGTCGATTGTACCACTCTTTTTTTTGCATCAGATTTTAATTGCGTATGCAGCTATCTAGCTCTGACACAATATCAAAGAAAAGTAGAGAATAGATGATTCAACGTAAAGGAAGAGCACTCATGCCTCAGATTTCATTTGCAAGTACCACTGCGAAGTTATTGCGGCTTTTTCTTCACCCCAAGTCAACCCTCATCCGTGAATACCCACTCAGGGGAACGTCTCAAGAACCCTGAGTTGTCCAGACATGCCTCCGTCATCTTTCAACTTTTCTCCGCGCGAAATATGGTCTGAGATGTCTCCTTTCCAAGTGGAGTAGGTGCCCAGGCTACTCAAACCATACCATAGAACATCACCAGGAGGCGAATCATAACACCTTCCATCGTTTGCTTGTGTTTATAGTGTTAGCTGCACTCTCGCAACCGAAGTCTTGGCGCGCACAAAGCTGAATTCGTAAAACTCTTGCCAAAATTCGTGATTTCACGCCCTTCGAGGTAATATCCTTTCTTTGCATCATTTTGTAAACTTGTCCTGATCCCTCTCACGTCCATCCCAAAGAACTGTCTCCCAGATTTGTGCGCCACGCTTTGCTTCCTCCGTCGAGTATCAATATCGGCGTGGTCGTGTATTAGGTGGTCAGCTGAAGCCAGAGAATAGTCGATGTGAAGTGTGGTCATTGAGATGAGGATTTACTAGGTCGTACTTGTAGACTTGATGAGGCTTAGGTAGGAGCCAAACTCGTTGGGTGCGAAAAAACGACGTTGTGGAGTAATTTGAATCATTGCCTCGTGGGCCAGCTTTGATATTGCAAATTTTTCTGAACTTGGCTCTGGGAGAATATTTCACTCCAAGGTTCATAGAGGACACCGCGTACAGGTGTTCAGTCTTTGCCCTCCCCTACCTCTCTTCTATGAGTCCGCAAACTTCTAAAAAATATTACCTCATTTCGGTGAGCGATGAAGCAGTGGCCCCAAATGATAACGGGAGCTTACCTCCGTCATGGAGACATGATCTTAATTTAGTTACAGAATTTTTACGAGCCCCTGTCTGTTGTGGTCAATTTGATTTACAATCTTAATCTCTTCGTTGAAATTACCAGCAGTAAGTATAAAAGTTGCAGCTCTACATCCCTATGGGGCAAGTACTTTTCCAAAGCTGCGCGAGATGTTGTAGTATCTTTGAATTAACAAGCTCATCTTTTGTTTTAGCACCGTATGGATGCAGGCTGGCGCACATGCGGAGGTCAAGCGACTCTATAGTATCTTTCCTTCTATGAAACATCTTGAGATTTAGTCAGTAACCACTACTTATTGGTTGGATTGATTTTTTCGGTAATTTTTCCAGATTTCTCATGAGTTTATTTGCTAGTGATCTACCATCGTCCCGTACTCCCCAAAAGTGTAATCCGTAGAGCGTCTCGGGCTGCATCATTGTCGAGCAGAATAGCCTCGAATAGCATAGAGAAGGGCCCTAGACCAATAAGATTACCTAAGATAGTGCTTTGAACGTAGCTTCCCCAGCCTATGCTACTTGTGCCACTATTGTGCCTTATCAAAGGCGACTATCAAAGATCATAGCTAGGATTTTTATTTTGGATTTAGTGTAAGTTTAGTGGATTTCCACGTTTAAGCCCTCCTGAGAATCTCTGGGGTTTTATTCTCTCCCAAAAGTGCACCAACTGCTATTTTTCCGGAGCGGATTCTGCCACGTATCTCTTAGCCCAAATGATAGAGCGGCCATGAGCTTTCTTCCAAGGCCTGCAATTCTCTTGAAATCGATGTCTACGCGAAACTAATGCCGTATCATTAACATGTCCAAAAGCCATGACCGAGACTCCGGAATTTGAAGCGACCCAGGCAGTTCCTAGACGTAGAAAGAAAATAGAATAGGTGAAAGTCGTGTGTTACGGCGTGCGCTAATAAGACTGAAGATCGCCGTCTGCCGAAGGTAATGTATTAATAACTGGTAGAATTACAGTTGCTAACGAAGGATACTCACATATAACTCGACTGGCGAGGTGCTAGGTGGTCAAGGGTCGGAGAACTACAGGATAGCCGAGAGATACGAAGCCAAGAAGTTGAGTTGCTGAGCAAGCGATCAAGGCTGATAACGGAGCCGGCAAAGACGAATTCTTCACCTTCCAGTGGTGCTGGTGTAATCGCTTAGTATGCTCTGCATATCTGGGATAGCCAAGAAGAATTGCATCCAAATCCAAATCGAAGTCGAAAGCAAACACATGCATATCTCCATTTGACGACTTCTCAATCATGCAGCACTCACCATTATCTTCTGAGTCCTCAACCTCTTTCTTACCACATATCACCTCGCCTCGACGAACGATAAAGGCGTTACCCCAATTGCAAACAGGAGCTTGCCTCATTCATCACCGGCCATCACTCACTACAAATTTATGACGCTACGTATACCCGCAAGGAGGAAATTAAGTCATAATTTACAAAGTTGGGGTCTTGGTTTATGGGGGACTGTTGCTCTAATGGGGTTATACATCTTGAGGAAGGACAGGCGGCTGAGATGTGGAGTGAGAGGGGAAAGAGGTCTCTGATGACCATGCTTGGGCTGACATTTTCGAGGAGTTTTCAACTTTGGATTACTTGTGGGCGCCAAGACCGAGATTTCGGCTAATTAGCCAGAAGGGCTTCTTCTGTCGATGAGTCAACGGCACTCCCCAGCGCCCTGGACGTCACAAAAGAAGTTGGGCTAAGCTACCGTACAGCAAACATGCTCTGTCAAGACTTTTCTGATATTTCAGCACGACCTTCAGGAAGGAGTTGGAAGGAGGCTAGAAAGGCAGAGAGTGAATTTCCCGAGGTACCCACAAGTCCGCAGCGCCCAGCTGGCTGGCCTCTTCGAACGCATCAGAAGGATCACCATGTCTTCGGATCTAGTCCTAATGTCGGTATTAGGAGAGTACCGCACCCAGTGGTATTTGCGATTTTTCCCGGCTGCCATACACCCGCAAATGGCCATCGTTTCGTTGGCTGGAGAGGGGAGATAATGAAGGGCAAAGGGCTCCTCTAAGTGTATGATCGAATGAGGACTTGTGAGGGGTGGTACTGTTTGAGGGGAGCTATGTGGAAGGCATAGGAGGGGATATACTACAGGTATAGGTATCCTTGGCCTGTAGGCAGAGAGGACCTGCATGTCCTACATAGTCATAGACTCAGACAGGACAATAAAATGAATTAATAATGTGACATGCCGCGAGTACTTGAAAGCTTTACTCATAAAACTAGTCTCTATGCGAACATTATGAGGAGATGTATGGAAGAAAAATGATATGAATTTGGTTAGGCGAGGTAGCTGGCCAGCCGTGAGATATTTTTTGACCGCCTACTTCTGGGATGTCATCTGAGACCGCTAAGCTCACGCTATTTTATAAATTTTGTAACATGATCCAGACTAGATTTCATCACATGTTAGGTTTCTTCTCGTCTCAGTATTTATAGCGTTGGAAGAAAGTAGGTTGTCCTGTGCTTAGCCCCTTTAGCCGTGCCACAGAGCATGATTGGCATACTTATCAGGAAACTGGGGAACCGTCCTGTAGCAGGTGAAGAATATTTACGGGTATCAATAAATCAGTAGAAACAACCTGATTCTTTTCTTCCGTACATCGGTCCCCAGAAGTTATGACTTCTCTAGATGGACCGTGCGTTTAACTAGCTAATTTAAGGTAATCTATTACTGGACCCCATATATCCAAATGTGATCCAAACACCAAATAAACATTAGATACTTCCTAATGTCTAACAATACTACACTTCATTACTCGGATATTGCACAGATGTACACGGGTTAAACTCCTCCTTAATACTTCGCGGGCTTACGAATCTGGCTAAAAGATTCATGCTACCCGCTTTATCATTAGTTCCACTGGCCCGAGCCCCACCAAAAGCCTGCTGTCCTACCACTGCGCCAGTGCTCTTACAGTTGATGTAAAAGTTTCCTGCAGAGTTCCGTAAGGCGTTTTCAGCATAACGAATAGCTTTACGATCAGTTGCGAAAATAGAGCCAGTAAGACCATAATCTGATGTGCCATCTATAAGTACGCAAGTAGATTGAAAATCTTCCGAGGGAGATAACTTGTCTCCGTATACATAAATAGTGAGGACTGGGCCGAAGTGCTCGATTGATAGCATAGGATGTTTAGGATTTTTAGTTACGTATATTGTTGGGTGAATGAAGTATCCTTGGGATTTATCATACTTGCCTCCACAGAGCAATTCAAGTTCGTCGTCATCCTTAGCGGCATCAATGGTATTGGATAGTTTTTCAAACGATCGTGCATGAATGACAGGGCCGATAAAGTTCCTAAAATCAGTAGGTGGCCCAACTGCAAGGAATGAAGTTTCCGCCATGAGTCTCTCTTTAAACTGCGGCCAAATTGATCTTGGAACATAAACACGCGAAGTTGCGCTACACTTCTGGCCCTGATATTCAAATGCTCCACGTACTGTCTGGATAGCAGCGTTTTCAATATCAGCAGAAGGGTGTATCAAGTGGAAGTTTTTACCCCCAGTTTCAGCGACAATTCTGGGGTAGCCTAGATACCTTGATCGGGCAACACCAATAGCTACAGCCTCATATAGTTTTCGAAATACAGCAGTACTCCCGGTAAAGTGTAAAGCGGCTAAACTTCTATGCGCTAGAGCCACTTCGGTTGTTTCCTCGGGAGGTCCTGGGATAAACTGGATAACATTTTTCGGCAGCCCAGCCTCTAAGAGGATGTTGTACAAGAGCCAGCTCGAGGCAATAGCTGAATCAGAGGGTTTCCAAACAACCACATTCCCCATCAAGGCAGGTGCACAAACTAGATTTCCCGCGATGGCGGTGAAGTTGAATGGCGAGACTGCATAGACAAAACCTTCCAATGGTCTATACTCCATCCTGTTCCACACACCCGGTGAGTGATGACAAGGCTGCTGAGAATACAATTCTTCTGCATATTGTACATTGAATCTAAGGAAATCCGCCAGTTCGGCTGCTGCATCAATCTCGGCCTGCCATGCATTCTTGCCTTGGCCCAGCATTGTTGCGGCCATAATTTCATACCGGTACTTGCCAGAAACCAAGTCTGCAGCCTTCAAAAAAATTGCTGCTCGTTCGGCAAATGAGAAAGACTCCCACTCAGACTTGGCACTAAGAGCAGCATAGATGGCATCCGTAACATGAGAAGGAGAGGCATTTGAATAAGAAGCAACAGAGGAGGCATGGTTAGAGGGATTGGGCTGATAAGAAATGCGACTGGTTTTAATCTGACCAAGTTACTACCTTTCAATCTATTAGGATTTCTCGACTCTGACCTTCAAACCATTCACCATGATTGGTACTTCAATCGGTGTTCTTTTCTGTAGATGTTCGAGGGCAGAAACGAGATTTTTCCTTTGGGATGAGTTCTTTGCGTAGGTATGCTACCCAGACTTGTTACGCCCGCCAGTGTGAGTAATATTTTCAGCTTACGTTTGGCTCATTTAGAGCTTTAGGTATTTTGAATGAAGCATTCGTTGCATTGTAAAATCTAGCCCATGATTGGGAATGAACTCTGATCATACCCTTACTGGTGCAACTTTGGAAACTAGAGATTCGAGAGAGCATTGTAGAGAAGCTTTGATGAGCTATAGGATATCTGGGTGAGACAAGAGGCCGATATGCTATTGCTGTTCTTTAAATAGGCAAATGGATGTCATGTCTTTTCGGCTAGGAGCGGCTTGAATGTCGGCTGATCGAGCGATGACACCAAGTAGTCTGGCAGCTTTACGCCAACGTCCGATGCAGCATGAAACTACATGGCCCGTGGTACTCCAAACTGATATCTGACTAATCTACATGCAGATCCTTATGGCCTGTATAATCTGTGCCCTCCAGAATATACTTCTTGCCAAGAGTAGCCGCCTCAATGATTCTCAAGATACTCTGATGATCGCTGATGTATATTACCTGCATCCTCTCAATTGTATAATTTTGGTCCGAGGGTATTTGAGCCACTTCTTATACGGTGTTTGAAATTACATGATTTACCTTGAACCTGAAGTACTCTATAAGCGACTGTGAAAACGAATGGCCGCTTTTGAATTGTCTGAAAAGATGGCTATTTTTTTAATTTCATCATTTGGAGTGGATCCAGCCTGCACTAGCTATGCCACACTTAGCCGCCCATGTGCGAGAAAAGTGAAATATTTAATAGTTCTCCCTGAAAAACAAATAGCTATGTTACGACTTCGACGCCTTCGCCATATTAGACTCATCAGGGACTTCATAAAAATTATGTTCTGCTGTATTCTACAAACGTGGCGTATCATACCATGTTAGCAGCCTGCTCTGATTACCGCAACGCCTAAAATATTCTCCACGTGGAGACCACTCTCGCGTGAAGCAGGGAGATCACGCCGAGAATAGTTTATAGAACTCCTTCTTCAGCTTACTTCAGTGTTCAAGCATTATCATCTGATTCCACTGAGACATACAAATACACAGGTAGATCCAGGCTGCTTCGCTTTTATCCATTTCGCTCATAAATCTTAAGACAAACGCTGAAAACTTGTCTGCGCCGACCTCTGTCTGACGGCTGGTAAGCCGATAGATTTTTTATTTTATTACGAATAGGTCCTAAGCTAACATACTTTATTCAAAATTGGTGAAGGACTGGTGGAGCCGGCAAGGTTCCCTGTAACTTTTCCTACAGCCTAAACTCGTTTCAACCTCGTGAATTGCTGCCAAAGGTGTGTGTGTGTGTTTATTGTGCTACTTGAGTCTATGACTATCTAGCACATTGGGCTCCTCTCTGACCCAGGCCACACCTTGTACAGTGCTCCTATCCTCTTTTGTTACTTGTAAGATCATTGATATATTCCCCTTGATGAATAGCCATTCAGCTCAGTATTTACCCGTGGAATTCAGCCACCTTTTCCACGGAACCTTAGACCCAAAAAAAATAAAAATGGTAGCAATGGAAACTGCGTGCGCGGGAAAAAGTCTCAAAAAACCTGCAGCCCCAGCCAGGCGAGGCCTAGAAACCGAGACCATATGAGGTGCGCATATTCATCTATATCGCTCTTCCTTGTAACATTAGAGGCAAACTTGATCCAATCCACCATCTCCGTATCGGGTACTGGGTCCGCTCCGGAAACTCATCGGATGGCTTCTCCTCCTTGATCAAGTGTTGGTGATGAGATGTGCTTCGACCATACCGTCTGATCTGATCGTGGTTAGCTTCATGATAATGATGATAGGGGGGATGTGTTAAGAGATGAGAACGAAACAGTCCAGGAAAGCGATAGGGGATCCTCATCGAAGTGAGGACTGTGTTACTCAATCTCAGCTCTGCAGACTCTACAGTGAGAGCTGGAGGTTCGTAGGGGACACCACTGACAGCTATTGAGGATAGTCCCCCCGCAGCCAAAGGTGCAGCTGATTAAACAGAAACGAAAAACCAAGAAAATCTAAATAACTCAAAATGACAGAAGATTCATCCACATTGGACTCCACCAATTTGCTCCTCACACATTCCGTCTTCCGTCACACCTTTCGGATGACAAATTTACCCATTCTCAGCTGAGAGCAAGAGATGGGCTAGCAGGCACCTTTGGTCCAGCCGGTATCCTGCTATTTGTTAGTAGATGCCTTGAAAGAGACATTGTAGAGGTCTCTAAATCCTCAAGCTTCTTCTTCAGCTTCCAGGGCTCCGAAACCTGTTGCCTCGGCCATCGAAACATTCTTCGGCCTTTTTAGCTGCAGCCCGAGCTCGTGCCACTTTCGTGAACTTCTCTTGCCAGATGCGGCGGATCCACGCGAGCTACTATTTTGTCACCGATCCGGACTTTCTGGGTCTGGCTTGGTAGTCCCGGTAAACCGATCGGTGGGGACCCCACAGATGCGACACTTGGTGAGGGCCTTGCACTCGGCTTCCAAGTGCATTTTAGAGCCGCAGTTCCAGCAGACAGGAGTTCGGGAGCAACCACGGGTGGCGTGGAAGCCCAAACAGCGTTTGCACTGTTCGATTGATCAACGAGGCTGGATCTTTGTAGCTGCTCTAGACTCGTCGAGAATGCGGAAGCCCACGCGAGATGCGGAGTTCCGAGCAAAGAAGGCTTGCCAATATCTGTACGGCGCCCCGGGACGGTATGTTCCGTGCGGTCGCACCTGAATTGGCAACTGTCGTGTTTTGCGGTAGATCTCCCATCAGCATCGCACGTATGAATACAGTCCATACTTTTTACGGTCGTGGGGACATTCGCAATCCGAAAGGCGACAAGGTTAGAGGCTTCTTCTAGCTTGACGTTGGAGTCCGATAATTTCGGTGCGGCATCCAAGAGCCTTTCCCTTTCATTTTGGTCCCCTGTCAGAATCGCAAGGCCGGTTCTGACTCGGTTTATGGAGCTGGCTTCACCCACGATGCACTGCAGCCCATCACATATCTATTTCCGTACAGCGCTAGGTGAAAGCTTGCGCCACGGATGCTCATTTTCTAGTCGAAGGAACAATCGTTTGTCGACTTTCACCTTCAGAGCATCTTCCTTTAAAGGCTGTGCCGCAACCTGCGGCACAGCCTTTAAAGTAGGGACTGCTTTCTGCCGCATTCCGTTTTTGGCCACCGTGACCCAGGTGCTTTTCACAGGCAGCGCTGGGACGGCAGGAATCGTTGTGCTCCTGACGTCGGGAGCCCTTGGGTTCGGGTTCGCCGGGCGAGGAGGGAGGACGAGTGGCGTGGAGGCCGGGCCCGTGGCCATTTATTGCGCGATGGCGGCGCGTAGGTAGACTCTCATGGAGTCTACGAATTGTCTATTTGACCCGTTGGTCAAAGGAAGAAGGGTGGATTCGATGCCAGAGATGGCGGCGGAACAGAGGGCTAGATTTGCCGCTATTTCGGCGACGCGTCGTTGTTCGGCTTCGACAATTGGTCGAAGTTCCGGAGGGCAATCTGCTTTCGTGGCAGCTTTGAGCTGCGTCGTTGATTTTGCTGCTGCTTTTGTTACAGCGTTTTTTGACGGTTCGGACGTGTTCAGAGGAAGTTTAGATTATTCTCCGATCCTGTGGGGGACGGGGGATGGTTGAGGACATTCCTCAACAGTTTCAACTGACCCGATCATGTCAGTATCAGGTTCAGTGACGGCGGGGAGGGCTTTTCTTTCCCTTTGATTGAGACCTTGCTCATCTCCGCGCATTTCGGAGACGGGGCAAGGCCAGGAACTTGTTCGAGAGCCCTCGGATGGACTCTCATGTTGTCCAACTTGACGTTGGGACGCTTTTTGCGAACTCGAGGCATGGTGAAAATGCCTGAGCTCGGTCACAATTCAGAGATGGATGCGACGAGAATGAGAAGGGAGGAAAGAAGGAAAAAATGAATTTTCGAATTTCTCGAACTGTGCGTTTGGTTGTTCATTATCGTGCCAGGTAAAGTGATTACCGTTGCACTCCTACTGGATCTTGAGCATGAATGGAGCCAGGCTAGATCAGGTTAATTACCATTAAGTACATTTACCTTGTCTCACCTGAATTACTGAACCACCTAAGACTTCACCCATGTGTTGAATCATGTCAAGCCCAACCGTCCAGAAACCCGCTGTATACACGCCATAGCGGATATTACTCCTCAGCCTCGGCCACCACGCGCCCGAGCCCTTGACACTTTCGCGATATGTGACTCTTCCCCTTGATACAATCTCAGCTTTGGCTCATCACATCCAGGGGTAGTTTTCTTCATTGGAAGCCTCCTCAGTTTGTTTTTCCTTTTGTTACTTCATGTACCATCCATCTATCCTTCATCCAATCTCTTCATCCTAGAAACTTTGTAGAATGTCCACCCCTCTGGCCTTGACCCGTCGCTGCCGTACCCCTAACCGTGGAGGTCGGAAATGTGACTGAGAGCTCAAGACTGAGACACCCGTGCCCCAGCCTTTGTCGAATGCTTTAGTTAGTATGCCGGCGAAATGTCGTACGTATTTCGTCGGTAGCCATTCGTCGCAGGTCGAGTTGTTGGCGCCCTTGGCCGAGGTGAGGACGCATTTTAGGCCGGTATTTCGACCGTACCTTCACAGCGACTTGCAGTTGCGGAGGGTCGGAAATCCTCTTGCTTCTTAGTTGGTGATTTGAGTTTTGGAGGTAAGAGATTGCATAGGTAGATGGTGAGATGATTATGGAGAGGGCCGCGAGACGAGTTTGGCTGGGAATGAGCTTCCAGAGAAAAAGAAAATAAGATCTTGAAGGTGTCGGTTGTTTTGATACGAACATCAGACAGGTTATAGCCTGTCTGCGGTTCGTATCTGGGGTGTAGATGGTTGATTTTGTTGAGCTGTGCAGTCGTGAAACCTCTGCAAATCGGATTTTCGACCAAAAAGAGCCAATACCACTCCTTCCGATCGCCAACTCGATGAAAACTCTCAAATTCATCCCTTGTCGTGATTGAATCTCGGCTATTGGGGAATATTCCACCCCAGGTTCGTAAAGGACACCACTTACAGATGTTCAGCCTTCGTTCCTCAGCCGGACCTGTCTGGATTCGGTGGTTAATACATTGCATTGATTAATTTTGTTGATCGGTGAATTATGACATTCGGATAAAGTATTATCCGAGTATAAGCCACAAGGAAATTTTACTGCGCAAATTCACTATACGAATAACCATAAGTGCCCAATTCTACTGAACGACTGTTCCAGCATCTTATACAAAGTCTCTCGTAACTTTAAGTGCACTATTAGACTTTTTGTGCATGACCTTTGTCATACAAACATCTACCTTTTATATAATTATTAAGATTGGTTAGGAACTCATAAATTTGATTAAAGTGGTAAAAATCCATGAGTCTTACCTTTGCGGCTCATATTATTAAGTAAAATTTTATCCTTTAGTGATTCTTTTTTAGTAAAGCTGAGTCGGGATGCAAGCCAATGATCATGTAAAGACTGTCTTGCTACCACGTTTAACAAGACTGAATAACTCGGCCTCAGAAATGTGTTGATATCATGATGCAAGCCCTGATAGTGAATTCAGAGTAGTGAATTTTAATTATGCTTAAAGCTAGGTTAGATCGCCTTATTTAGTTAACACAAGATTTTTAGCTTGAATGTTCAAATTTTTAGACCTGCAAATAATGGTATGGCTAGAATACATAGGTTCCACGATCCTACGTGAGGTACAGTGATAGGTAAGTTCAGATCGCTACCAATGCTTTGATCTATACCTTTATAAGCTCGGTTAGATTCATGGTTCGTCATTAATCCCTGCTTCTTATTGGCTTTCACCGACAAGTTGTGCAAGTGCAAATAGATATTTATCAATGACATCCATTCTTGTGTAGCAGCACAGCCTGGCCCAAAACTAAGGCGATTATATATTCCATAGACTGTCTTTGAAAAAATGATCTCGAAATTCAAGATAACTTGTCAGGGGCGTCTCTATATGTTCGGCTTGTGTCCAAGTGGAAGAACAGTCGAGGGCACGAAGGGGGTGAGGTGCAGATATCCCAGGCCTTCTATGAAGACAGTTCGTCTTCTTCTTCGGCACTAGCCTGGGCCTAAAACTTATTAGCAAAAGCGAGAGGCCGCAACAGAAAATATGTGGAGTTCGACATACAGCATAATTAGCCATTTGTTCCTCGTATCGTGTTTTATCCTTCATTGCCATGTCCGTGTAAGGGATGCGTTGCTTTTCACTAAGGGCTTTCCATCGCTCTCCAAGCATCTTTCCAACCTGGCCTTTGACAAGTCAATTAGCTGAAATTTAGTGCATGGTAAGCGAGTTATACCAAATGTGATTCCCGGATTCTCTAATCTTACGTTCTCGCGCTGTTCGTTTGCGAAGAACATGTAAGCAGAGAGTCCACGCTTGGGTGCATTGGGGTCTATTTCATCAATTAGAAATACCACATTAAAATTCTTGTAACGTGCCTTTCTTCTTTCTTTCTGGTTTAGGCTTTCCGACCTTTCGGGTGACAGATTTTTCTTTAGGCATATTTGCTTTATTTGGCTAAATTTTGACGCAACTTGCTGTTAGTACGGGTATGAAAATAGGCCGAAATATCGTGGGATGTAGCTTTGTGCCTTGGTTGGCGAAGGGCGTAAATAGACAAAATGATTAGGGAATTATTGCTTTATTGAACAAGATGTGGGCAGTATATGAAGGCATGGGTAGGCCGAATCGCGTTTAATATTTAGTTTTTGATGGTTCTGTGACCAAGATTAAAATACCACGACAGTGAGTGCGTGTATTCAGGTCTGGCGACTTAAAGTAACCAAATTCTATAGTTCGTTTAAGAATGAGAATCATGCACTTACGGGAGCTGACAATTGTTGACAACTGATGAAGGGCTACTACCTAGAAAGTTTTGACAGGGTCAGCCCCTTAGCCCAAGTCTAAGTGATGAATTAGATAGGCTTATTAATGTTGGTGAAGTCGGTGGGTAGGTCGAACTTCCTTGTGAAATTCTAAGCCCGGATTTCGGAGCTTCACGATTGAACGGTAAAACAAATACATCGATGAGCATGATTTGCATATTTATTACTGATGTAGCGTGTAGACAATAACAATAGTAGCTTGTGGTTGTGCGGACGTTGGTAGGATTGGGAGAGTGTATGCGACTTATTTTCGCGTCGTTGCTTATCGGAGGGTAGAGGGAAGTGATAGCTTACCTGCGAGTGAAATTTTGTGTGGATGAGATTTAGCTGCGCAGAGGAGGGAGAAGAGTTATGTGAGAGGAACTGGGCGACTGCGGAGGGGGGCGGACAAGGTCAGAGGGTTAGCTAGTTTCTTGGAGAACGGTGTGATTGCGCTAAGAACCAGTCTTCCTGCCACGCATAAATAATTCAGGCAGGCTGGAACCGACCAGTGATGAGACGCCAATTTCTCTGATACCTCAGGCAATGACGCAAAAACTAAATAAGCTTTTGAGGTTGCAACTTAGTACCAACAGAATTGCAGATATGACACTAAAATCAAGTCTAAATGATCACGTCGGGAATAAATATAGAGGGCATTAATTTAGATATAGTCGCAGCATCTGTCACTGTATTTTTACAAATCCTCGCTTTACGACAAGCAAGCCTCTCATGGCGGTGAACGAAAATCGTAGAAGCGTCCGTATAGGTCCAGGGTGCACGTGGCCTAATCTTAGAAGCTATGTTTATAGAATAAAGTTAAGTATTCTTCTAGTCACGTCATAGCTCTATCTACAGGATACCGTTTCGGTTTTCCTGCGAAAGTATCTCGATCCTGTGGCATTGCCACGTATTTAAAATTTGGAGTCTTTCCCGTAATGTTTAGGGGCCAATGCAAAAAAAGTGAGAATTAGGGTCGATGATGCAGTGTTAAATGCCTGAGGGGCCAAGAATTAATGTCAAATTGCTACTCATCATCTAAAACCAGCAGCAGCAACTCTGGATCTCGTGCCCATGCTACACCACTACCAGCAACCGCAGCACTTGCCGTTTCTTTCATCATTTTCCATTTCTGGCGGCTGGCATAAAGCATGCTTTCCATGGCAAATATTTCTTTCTGCACTGCGGTATCCTCAAAACTACTGTGATGTTGCGGATATCTCCCTTTCTCCGCCAACTCTAGCATGGTTGCCGCTAAATTAGTATTCTCTCTCGCTATGCGGATATTGTCAGCTTCCTTCTCCAGTAGTTCTGCCATCATCTTTTCCTCTTTTTTCGCCAGCTTTGTCAAGCAAAGCGATAATTCGTCGCGTCGCCTCAAAAGAGGTGATAAACGTCTGCCAACGCGCGTTAGCCCAGAGACATGAAAAAGATAGAAGAATGGATTTGTGTACTACCTGTCACTAACTGATTCAGATGTGTCAGCTTGAGCAGACTCTAGTAGAGGATTTGCGATTAAAATGCTCTCTACAATATTTTTACGTATTTGAAATGCAGCTTTGGCTTTCAACAATTCATTGTGAGCATCAACAATCCCTGTTGAAGTAACGATCTCGAGATCATCTACTGGTGTGAGAATTAGACCATTGTTACTGGTTAGAAGGGCATGCCTTGAGGTTGTTGATCTCGGACATTTAGCAGCGCAAGTTCTAAACACAAGTTCTCAATGCGATTGTAGCACCTAAGTACCCACTCCTCTAGTTCGCTTAGCTGGGGATTCGCCGTAACTTGCTCGATCTTGACGCCTTCCATGTCTCGATGTTGCTTGCGTGATGCCCTCTTTAGTCATCCAAGGCAGCAACAAACCAATGCTGTAACCGCGCGCTTAGTTAAATGTTTACGCGCTGTGCACGAGGTGACATTATACGAAAAGGTGTATATATATAAATCATTGATAGTCATTCTTCTGGTTCCTGCCCTTGTGTGTTTTGTATGGACCATCATTTAAACATGCCGCGACAGCTCATAGGGGTGTTGCTCTTCAGTAGGAAATCCATTGTATACAGTGCAGAAGAAGAGAGCGTAGGAGATGTCTATGAAGGTGTACATCGCACATTCTGGCCAGTGTTTGCTGGCTGAAGCCGAAACTTTTAATTCGTATGTCCGTTAATGAACGTGCCCCCCAAAGGTACTAATATAGACAACAGCTTAGATTCCCTAAAGTTATGGATTTCCAAAAATAGTAGGGTGGATACACAAGATCAAATTGCCTTAAACTCTCACGGGAAACATGTCAAATTTGATAGTTTTTCTAAAGAAGTAAACATATTCGCATCTTCCACTGGATCTAGCTTACAGGCCATAGAAGGAGATATTCATATTTGATAGACGTATAATACAATCAACCTCGACCAGTGGGCCAAAAACATCAATCTACGATAATTGCACAGCCACCATCTATCAAGTGTCAAAGCCTCCAGAGTCAGTCTCGGACCACAATGATATTGAGGCATGGAAAGATTTACTCAAAAACCGACAAGAATGGGCGCGCAGTATTGCAACCGACTGTCTTCGAATGCTAGATGAAGTTCGAGCCCGACGTTTTGAAATGGATGTTATTATCAAAAGTGCCTCCACCGCTGCGCGCAACATCCAAAAGCATATAATAGCCCTAGACAACAAAAATGTACTAATTCAGAGCTGGGTCGAACATGTTCGCAAGGTACAGGGGCTGCCGAATATAGATTGGGATGTTATTCTAGAGTCACTACGAACTATAGTAGCTGGTGAAGAAATAATTAACTTTATCACACGCTGTCAGCCTAAAAGACAGCAAAAGCCCAATTTGGGAGAGCTGATAGATATTGAAAAATTCAATAGAGCAAAAATGCTTGCCCAAAAGTTACCACAACAGCTCCTCCAAACTAGTGTTGATCTCAGAAAAAAGATAGACGAGATCTACTCACACTCCGACAGAATTTTTGATATTGTCTCCAAGGAAATGCCTGATAGATCTCAAGAAAAAGTAGCTTTGGAGCCGGTGCAAATATCGAAAGATGTTGAGGCTCTATCAAAGAAACTATATCTAGAATGCGACAGTATCCTTCAAATCCGGAATTCCAATCTAATCTTACAAGCATCAAACTCTACATCAGTGCATACCAAAACGATAATCCCTAATCTAATGAGCAGAACAATAGAAATTGACAATTTTCGCCGGCAGGTCACAAATACACGTAATTCTTTGGCTTCACAATCGATAGAAGTCATGCAACGTATAGCTTTTCTGACCTCAATGATAACCGACGTGACGGCGCGATTGACAGCAATAGAACCTTGTGAAGATTTGGTTGATGCAGTGCAAACACTGACGGACGTAAAATCGATACCTGTGACATATGCATCTTTTCTGGCTGAAGGTATTAGGCGTAAGCGGTGGAATGAAAAGATAGAAACAGAATTATCTACCCTTACTAACGAAATGGCACTATTCAGGGAAGAGGAGACCAAAAGACGGTGTAAATGGCAGAAGAACGTGGGTAGTGTACTCTGGGGAGAAAAAGTCGAACAGAATGTGTCCAGGTTAACAGTCAAGGTTGAGAGTTCAGGTGATGATTGGCCCGAAATATCAAAGCAACACCTCACAGAACTCCTTGAAATTCTACAGGCAAGCGATTCACAGTCTTCTGTTGCAATAGATGTCTCAAATATAATATCAAGCCTCGATAATCCTACCAAATCATTATCATTACGAGCCAAAGTCTCGTTTAAAGCTGGAAGTCTTCATGAGAATTCACTGGGAAATAGTAGATTATTATTTAGAGGTGACCCGGAGCTCGTTTGTATTTTACAAGAAGAGAACGAAAAGACAACAAGAAAACTGAAGACTGCTGAAAGTCGAGTGCGTAGGCTAGAGAACCTACTTCATCAACAGACACAAGTCAACCGTATGTCTTTGGGAAACTTTCATCAAGTGCCATCCTATCCAACTTCTGATCCCTCAAACCATATTAATTTAGCCCGCTCACCTCGGCTTCCAGAAGTCCTTTCACGTCGCTCCTCAATTTCTTCTTGGATACCTTCAACAAACCAAGGAAATGAAGATAAATCTCATCAGCAAAGAATTTCTTCCCTCGAGAACGAGCTCTGCATCGAAAGAGAGCGCTCAATGGGCCTGGAAAGAAAAGTTCTAGATAGGAAGATAGTAGAAGAAAGTTTAAGGAATCAGTTTGAGGAAACTAATTCTACAAAAAGAGATTTACTTCAAAATTTTGAAGCTCAACAACGGGAATTCACAGAAGAGCGTAAGTCATTGATATCTGATATTAAAAAGCTAAAAGCTCAAAAGGAGGATCTCGAGGAGGAGCTTGACCGTTATGTAGATATCAGGGACGGCGAAAAGATTCGTATCTATGATGGTGAAAACAGTTTACCAGATCAACCTAAAGCCCAGTACAGTACAAAATTAGAGAATCAAAAACTGCCAGGTGTATGGGAATTTTCCGGAGATTCTCACAAACAGGTTGCGGGCGAGAGGAAGACCAAGAATTTGGTACTAAGAGAAAATGAAGATAGCGCCGCCCTTCTCGCTCGCGCTGAAAAAGCGGAAAAAAAGGCAGACCACTACTTCGAAGTTGTCCAAAACTTATATAAAGAGCTACGTTCAGAAAACTTCTTACCAGAGAATAATAGCTCTTCCGATGACTTAATTGGTTTATACAGGAGTTTATTCCATGAGCTTCAAATCGCAAAAAATGATGCACGCAATGCTAGAGCAGATCATGATATTACCCAGATAGATCTACTTGAACTGAGAGGAGAGATTAAACGGGTAAAGAATAAGCTTTCTGTAGAGGAATTAGACTCTTTTGGATTGCGTGAAAGTTTGGCTGAAAAATCCAAAAAAGTTTCTGCTCTTGAAACAAAATTGACCACTTTGCATCTGGAACTCACCGAAATCAGAGAAAAGTTTGCCGAGACCGAGAAAGAAATGAATACCCTGAATACTCAACTTGAAGAAGAGAGACTTCAAGTTTCCAAATTGATGGCAATTATATCTCAACGAACGTTACGTATCGAAACTTTAGAAGAAGAGGTCAGAGCCCAACATGAAAAAAACCAATCAGCACAGAATGAGAATGAGAAACTTTTATTACGACTCGAAAGCCGAACTTCTAAGGCGAAAGATCTTAGCCATCGAGTTTACTTTCAAAATGATCGGTTGTGTCGGCTCCTCGAACGGCTAAGCTATTCGGTCACGCGAGAAGGCCGATCCATGCTTATTCAGAGATTACCCAGGCTCGAGCGGTCTAATGTTAATGATTCACCAGACGTAAATACATCTATCCGACAAAGCTTTTCAGATACAATGGGAAAAAAACTACCTATAGAAAATAGTAGCCTTGGACTCGTAAACTGGATACACAACGATGATCTTACTGTTGAATCTGACAAATTTACTTCATTCTTAAGTACAGTGGGTAATCTTGATGTCGAAGCTTTCTGCGATACACTGGCCAAACGTGTCAAAGACCTCGAATACACAGCCAAGAAATATTCCCGGGATGCTCGCTCGTATCGGGAAAAGTCCCATTTTGCGCAGAAAGAAGCGCATGAAAAGATAGCTTTCAAAAACTTCAGGGAAGGCGACCTAGCATTATTTTTACCGACACGCAACCAAGCTACTGGCGCATGGGCTGCATTTAATGTGGGCGCCCCCCATTATTTCTTGAAAGAACAGGACTCCCATAAACTTAGGTCCCGAGACTGGCTACTTGCAAGAATTCATAGAATTGAACATCGAGTTGTTGATCTATCAAAGTCACCTTCAGAATCCCAACTTCATCAATCTGATCGAAGATCTTTCGGTGAGACGAGTGCTGGCGGCGATTCATTTGAGGATGATAATCCATTTGACTTATCTGACGGATTACGCTGGTATCTAATATATGCAGCTGAAGAAAAGTTAGGTGCCCCCACAACGCCAGGCTTGGGGAAAAGTACAGTCGCCAGCGCGCACATCGATGCAACAGGTAGCATTCGACGTAGCAAAAAGTCTTCGAGTAGTGGCATGGATGGAATTAATCGAACTCTAAGTAAAAATCTTGATACACGACGAGGTAGTAGCAATTCCAAAAAATCATTGCCCGCGACAAGCTCATTAATTAAAGTTGGTTCTACACCTTCCGATACGGTATCGTTGAAAACAGCAGCTACAACGCGGAAGGCTGGTGGTGACCCAGAGACTCATACTACACATCCGGTTAATAAGGAAGATGAAGTTTCTGATCGGATACTTGGCCAGGAACTTGAAAGCTAAGATTATAAATATACCTGCTCACATGCTCTGATGCTTGATTCCTGGTTTACACTGAGTGAATGACTTATGCATCACGTGCAGCGAACACTACACTTGGCTGTATTTAATGAGCAGTGGACATACTTTGTAAGTTCTTGATTGTCTATAATATACCCTTATCACAATCGATAAGGCTTGATTACCATCGTTCCCTATTGAATTTTGGCAGTAAGTTAATATTACAGCATCTATTGACCAGGGTGCAAATTTTGGTCTGATATTTCTTATTTTTTAGGCTTAGTATGTAATGATGGTGATGGCGATATCATATTGATTGGTTGGTTGGTTGGTTGGTTAAAATAAGCACTGTATTTTACCTAATGATAGTAGAACCGATGTGATTACCATTTTGTCCTGCTTCAATAGAGTATGAACCAGAAAATAAGTAGCTGTGATTGATTCGATGATGGAAGCGAGTTCGTGAGCACATGACACTAATAAGGTTGGCATTTACGGGCCAGGAGGTTAGAACTCTGGGTCCTCCATGTAAGCGATAGCAAAGTGACAGAGGGTAGCCTAGACGGCGGAAGCAAATTTTAGCACCGGCGCGCATGTGCGCCGCCGGGACTGCAGTGGGTGAGAAGGCATATGACTGCAGGGAACCGCGATGGGGCACACGCAACAATGAGAAGGCAACGACGGTCCCGCGCAACGGATAAAGGGACAAAAGCACCGGTCGGAAGCGTGCGAGCAGGGGTGTGTAATAGTGCGAGTGGCAATGGTGGTGGGGCAGGGAGAGCTTGTCGGTGTTCGCTTTGTGGAGAGGTGGACCAAGCATAGGCTCGTCGGGCCAACGTGCCGCCACCCCACGCCAGACCTATTGCGCGCGGCACGATACAGCAGGAAGAGCGTCCGGCGCCGTGATGGGGGATGACATGTTGCAATCCTAAGCCATGAAGGTTAAGGCCATCTGGTCTGTCACTAAGGAATGACAGATCACTGTAGTGGAATGGCTAGCTAGGACATGTCCTATTTTGTATTAGAAACTAGCTGAATTCCCAAATTGAAGTTATATCTCTACTACAGTGGCTACTTAGCCTAGGGCTATGGAGAACTTTGGTAGTCTTCATGAAAAACTCTAGTTACATCTATCCAGATAAACTTGAACTACTCCAACCTACGTTATCGTGGACATTGAGGGTCGAACCTTGGGCTTGTTACCATTGATTGGGAGAGGTTGCGTCCAGATTGACGAGAGACCTATTGTTGCCACTCATTACAGTCAGTTCCTTGGAGTGCCATTGTCGGATAGCATTGAATAATGACCTGCTAAAAATTGTAATTAGATGTGGCATACTGAGGTTAGAGCTCAATGGTGTGGGCATGCTCGGAATCCCGTGCATTGCGACAAAGCGATAGTCGCGGCTCTTTTCAGCGGTGCATGAGGCTACTTTGTGACGTAGATTTTGGTGCGTAGATGCCAGGGGTCTGCTCTCGCCCTGTTGTACTCTGCCAGTGTGAATCGGGACTAGTGTGTAAAGCATCATTATCTGCAGAATGTGTCATTGTGAGTGTCAAGGCGGGATGAACATTAGCGTGAGGTTGTCACTTGTCCTAAACCAAGTGTAGCATCATAGAAGATTGGTCGTCTGGGAGCTAGCGCCGTGTGGCTTCCTCCGTCTGATAGTTGTGAAGTTTAGAGCCAACCGGCAAGTCCTTTGCGTGAAGGGGATCCCGGCCAGTTACTCGTTCGCCATCGCGATATCGCACGCGTGTCTCGTACACTCACATACAACTTCAAGGAACCCACGCGAACCTGCGAACTGGCGTTAATTTGAAAAGACCAGACGCTCCCCGGCGGCCCCATCTCTCCCGCTACCTGGTCCTAGTTGAGATGAATGCGCACATTCGCCAGAGGGGACCAAGCGATCGTCTTATCTCGACAGTGCTTAGCTTGAGCAGAAAACAAAGATTGTCCAAGCCTCAGATGCAGGGTATGATTCTGTCTAGCCTTAGACCCGGTTGCAATCTGGTCAATTCGCTGCTGGCAACGCTCTTCCGCGTTGAACGCGCTGTCTGCATGGCACGGCGATGCTACTCCCCTATGAACCGGGTAGCGGAGCGATGGCGACCGATTACCAGCAGCGCAACACTTGATATCAAGATCGGATGTCCTGGATAAGCGTCTTTCTTTACATCGGCCGTAGACACTGCCTACAGAGGGTAGGCCTAGTCAAGGACATGCAACTTGTAGCTTCCGGCAACGGCTCATCCGGAATGTATAGACAGGCGTTGGAGTGGCGAGAGCGAGAGCGAAAACGGGCCGAGATTCGAGTCCAATCGTTTAGTAGCTACTTTGTATCAAACCACGGGCGGACTGAGAATGACAAGAGACAGCTTTGTTCCATCTGCCCGAAACCTTCTCGAATCAGAATGAGATGCCAGCGACTCCGGCAAAGACGTGCCAATTCTCTCCTAGGATCCCTCGTCCCAGAGCCTGATCTGATCACCCCCACATCACTTTGCGCCCGGCCCTTCACTCCCCAGTAGCTCTGCACGCTCCCCTACCCATTCACTTCTATGAACTTCCTTCTTCCTAGCTCTCCTCTCTCTTTAGCGCTGGCTAGCGGCTCAGCGCGGCCTCCGTATCCACCTCTCGAAAATCCCATATTTTGACCGTTTCGCTCTGGTCAATTGTTCATTTGCTTTCTCATTCAGTTCCATCGATATCACCTACTTTTAATCGAAACCTGCAAGCCCTTGCTTGAGCAGTACTAAAGATTTAACTTCAGACACTTTCGCTACAAAAAACCACAAACCCCCTACCAACGCTTTGATTATCGGACCAGATTAGACTGCCCGATAGTCCCTGCGCCCGACGATCTTCCTACCTGCAGTCGTTTTGATTTGGTCGGCTTCCGGGGATTACCTTCCTAGCATTCATCGCGGATACACCCAATTTGATTTGTAGGTTATTCGCGCTCTATTGTTTACTCTGCTCTCACATCGCGTTTGTGCTTATCACAATGATTTCCTACTCTAAAAGCTATCGGAAATGATCTGATATAACCTCCTATTGATCATTAATCTTACATGTGTCCATAACTCCTAATCACTCATTCGTTTCACCAAGCTCCTCAAAACCCCCATTTTATCACCGGTCCCGAGATATTGATTTTAATATCATTTTCTAGGATATAAACGCTTTTCTTTAATTCGATTTCCGACTCTATACCTTTTTTTCCATCCTATTCGCTCATTCTAAATACATTTATATATACATATATTCTCGTCAACGGCGCCTAAATATCATCAGCGCCAGAGACAAAACACCAAGCTACTATTGCAGATACCCGAACCAAGGAAGAGGTTCAACTTTAAACACAACGTCCTAATTCTAACCAACCCAATTAATTAAAACATTGCTAAGCTCCGCAACCATGGCTCAATACACCCAATCGATTCCAAGCCGCCCAAAAGTGAAGCTGGGAAACAAATTCCATACATCCAAGGCACCTTTAATTCACTCTGGTAGAACAATTGAGACGAAGCCGAGATTGGGAAAAGATGAAGTCGCGACTCTAGAACGCGAGTTTAGGAGAAACTCCAAGCCATCAACTGAAACAAAGATAGCGTATGCAACGCAAATGAAAGTAGACCTACCTAGAATAAATGTAAGTAAAATACTCATAGGATTAAATTAAATCACATCTAAGGCAGCACAGAACTGGTTCCAGAACCGCCGCGCCAAGCGAAGGCAAGAACGAATTGAACGCGAAGAGAAAGCTTTGATAGAAATATCTCCACAAAATCCAGCAGAAGCGGCTCACGTTCAATGTTTGAACCCATTAACTAGTGAAAGTCTCACAAACTCTATTGATACAGTAGCAACTGGTACATCACATCCTCTTCAGTACTTTAGCAACCTTAGCATAGAATCTAACAACGCACTTCTCGGAACAAATCACCATATGTATATTACCACAACTCCTATTACATCACAATATCCCACAGAAGACGGTGAAACAAGCTTCACTCTAGAAAATGCTTTCATGCCTGAAGACGTTGACTCTAATTCTTCGAACCAGTTTGTCGAAACTTTGTCGTATGGTTTTGATCACACAAGCTTCAAAGATACTGTTTCCTACCTAACGACTCAGCTTGTGCCAAAGTCTCATCCCATAATTAACGTTGGTGACCAGGGAACATCCACAGATAGCACCCAACTGATGTTCGGAGAAAATAACTTGCATTCACAATCACCAGCCTCCATACAATCCCCAATGGAATTTATAGGGCTCGAAAACAACCAAGATCTATTAAGAGAAGAGCAACTGGGCCGAACTATAGACGAATGTACTAATTCTAATTTTATAGACGGAACGGTTCCCACGGGAAGTGGCCACGCTTCATTCACTGACAGCCTTGAAAATACTATTTGTAACGCAGGAACAACACTCTACAATCAAGGTCCATTACCGGCGCCTGTCGATGTCCCGTTCATATCAAGGCCTCCGTCAAACATTGCTTCCCGTCGAAAAAAGGTGCAGCAAAGACCAGCCGCATTAATACCTGACACGATTGACGGCCATGGCACTGTTGGTCCACGTACAGCTTCCCAAGTTGAAAGGTTTCATCGACCGAGAGAAAGTCCTCTCGCCTCACCTATGCGACGGATAGTCTCAGCTGGAGGGAACCGAGCAGTAGCATCAGGACGAGTACAAAAACCTGGATCAGAGCTGAGCCAGAGATCACCTATCAGTCTCGGTGGTTTTGAAAAAATGAGTAGATACGTGGAAAACGGTCACCAAAACTTCCGCAATTGTCCATCTCTGTCCTGCGCTTCACCTCAAAGTAGCAGCTTCGCCCCACTAACCCCATTATCAGTAAAAGATATGTCGCTGGTTAATTGGGAGAGTGCTAACTCCACTTTGTCGCCAACTGTAATGAGCCCTGATAATAACTTCGCCGTTAACGGTACCAATACCTTCGTTTCCCTTGAAGCAGGAAACCAAAACTTAGCATCCCCTGTATCTTGTTATTTCCATCCACTAGCTCAGACACCCCGAGATTATAATTTCGGATCCGAATTCTCTGAGAAGTCAACATTTGCAGGTCAAAACGATGGCTTTTTCAACACATATCAAACCAGCCCCTTTGTCTATCCCCTTGGCCAATCTCCCTTGCCAGTTTTCGCTCCACAGCTTAACGCCGATCTATTCGCATATGAATTATCTCTTAATACTCCTACCGGGCCTGAAGTATCCATCCAATCAGGTAACGAGAAATTAACTGTGGATAATTGTTACCACCCTCCAAAACCAGCTACGCTAAAAGCAAAGTTCAACAAAACATTTCAATTTTCACACACAACACCCGCTGATTATGAAAAGTAAACAGACTCTGTAGAACTTCCCATGAAAAAAGTTTAAGAGCTATTTGTGTCAATCAGTTGACCTTTATGAAACATCTCAAAAGGCAGAAATATCTATCCGAAGGCAAAAAACTTCTGGTTTGGTTGAAACTAAAGTTGTTTAGAGCTGAAGTCACAGCTAATATCAGTGTATACTTCGAGTTTACGAGATATGCAGAAAAGTGTAGCTAAAAAATTAGGTTGGTGATATCATGGGGTTAAGACATTTGTCGGGGCAAGAGGGTGATGGAGCACGCTGTCTTAATGCAGTACATAAGATCAAGTCAGAAAAGTGATTGAGGTTAATATCGCTGATGAGGGAATTCTTATTGTGTATACGTTTGATAATGGGATAAGTGGCGCAATTGAGTTTCAGGGTTGTCGGCAAGCAGTTTTGGAAAATTGCTTATTGGAGTAGGGCTACGTAATTAAATAATGGTGCTAGGTTTGGTCATGGGTTTCTTTTAACTAATTCATAGAAATGAATGCTCTCAATGTAAATCTGTATCACATGGATCTGAGCTTCCACATTAATGTCATTGATTACAGTCTATAGATCATTCAATACTGGTTTGGACTCCACAATTCATTTCACGGGAGTCCCTTTTGGCTCAATAGTTGACCCTGCTAAGTCGGCAACAGGCATACGATGTTTATCCTAGCCCTGGCGGATTTCCCGTGTGTCTCAGATCATCATTGAAATTTTGACCCGAGAACTCCAAAGCAGCCCACTGTGAAATAGAAAAATCAAGCTAAGGCGCTGTCTCTACCAGCGGAACTAGCACTCTCGTATGTCGCGAGATGCAACGCTAAGTTTTGAGAGGAGAACGGCAAGAAGACTTACAGGGTGTATGAATAGGATAAATGTTACGGGCCTGTGCAGTTGTCAAGTCAAGGCACCAATTTGGCCAGCTGTCCCATGTTGGACGTTCGGCGCATGTAACGCCGACTTCCACGGCTGCAAAGTTAAAATCAGCCAACGAGCGCGTAAGCCCCTGTACTGTCGTTCAGACTATTCCGCAAGGCCCATTCGACCTCCCGCGCAAGCCCCACATCCGAGTCAACCCTTTGGATTATATGGTGCAGTGGTATGCAATCCAGATAGACACCCGTCATTGATCATGTGCATCATGATAGGCTATTAAGCTTGAACGGATGACCCCTTTTTCACATCGAACTAGACTTGACCACTATCGTTTGGCTCTTGATTGGACGAAGCAATATTTGCAAATTATAATTTAAGCACTCTATTTGACAAGTGTCCGCAAAAGAAGGTGCTCGAGTCGTGATGGACTAAGCAAAGCAGCTTAATCAGGGCATGCAACTTCTTACATGAAGCAGTTGTATAAAGTGTAAATCATGCTGTCTCATACGATGGGAGACGTAGCTCCGCCTTTCCCCTGTCCTCCCAGGTGGGGCCCAAGTGGCCGACGGCTCCGCCTTCATCGGTGCGGACAAAACTAGTCGAATCGAAGCGTAGCAACACTACTAGAAGCAGTATGAACATCTTAGCGGAGGGGGACGAAACTCAACGCCTGCCAATGGTCTCCCACACGAACCTCCAGCTCTCGCAGTAGAGTCTGCAGAGTCGAGATTAAGTAACACTTACTGAATTTAACCTTAGTTATCTCCCCCTTCGCCAAAGATACGCTTCATATAACAAATACGACAATCAAGACGACGATAATGATGCTGAAAACGAAGAAAAACATTGCGGTATGGTTGGGAATGGAGACACAGAGTGTTCCGGACGTATGGGCCTTCCACTTCGTCTAAGTTTCCGACGCAATCTTGTGTAAAATTAAGAGGTTAGAATGAGTAATAGGGTAATGCTTCAGGCTAACTGATGTATATATGAGCGGCTGTATGGTATGGGCACAATGAGTTTATTTGAGGGATATCTATGCCCAGATGGCGCCCAAAAGCTTAAACTGTGGCTTAGGCTGTGTGTCGCTTACACTTGTACTTACAGCGCAAATCTCCCACTCTTTCAGTAGTAATCCGAACATGACACTCTTGTAGCCAATTTCTCCTTTCGTTCCAGAAATACTACGCCCATTGAATTGCGTAGTATTCCCAATAGGCACCAAACACTACAACGATAGTCAGAGAAGCTTTAGTTATATTATAACATGTGCTACCCACCGGCAGGCAAACAAAAAGCCCTCGAAAGCAGAATAGAAGACTATTCCACCTTCAAAAAAAGCAGATTTACACTCGTCAACAGTATCGTCCCTTTTAACCTTGCATTCTGAATCTACTAGCCAGGAGGGCATCTGAAATAAATGAGTTACCCGACGACCCCACGTCCGTGACGACTTTTGGATGCATGGCTAGACTCCTTCACGACAGTCACTCTCGACCAAGACTTTTTTGACAAACTTTCACGACCTTCGGTTTGTCCTGCGGCATGAACCAGGAGAGGAGTAAGGAGGAGGCTAGGAAGGTTGGGAGGCGCTCTTAGGTATATATAGGTCTGCTACACCCGGCTGGCCGGCCTCTTCGTCATAGGAGAGCCACGCACCCAGTGGTTTTTGAGAATTTTCGATGCAACTACACACCCACAAATGGCCGTGGTTTCGTTGGCTGGAGAGAGGAGATCATAAAGGGCAAAGGGCCCTTCTAAGTATATGATCGAACGAGGACTTGTGAGGAGTGATACTGTTTTAGGAGAGCTGTATGGGAGGCATAGGAGGGGATACACTACTGGTATAGGTATCCTTGGCCTTTAAGCAGAGAAGACCTGTATGTCCTATATAGTCATAGACTCAGACAGGATAATAAAATGGGTTAATAAAGCAGCATCTTCTCACATCCATGCAGGTTTTCGGAATGATTAATGTGGCTGGACCTATTTGGAGTCGTTGGTAGTTTTTCTTTTGCATCAGATTTTAATTGCGTATGCAGCTATCTAGCTATGACACAATATCAAAGAAAAGTACAGGATAGATGATTCAACGTAAGGGAAGAGCACTCATGCCTCAGATTTCATTTGCAAGTACCACTGCGAAGTTATGGTGGCTTTTTCTTCACCCCAAGTCAACCCTCATCCGTGAATACCCACTCAGGGAAACGTCTCAAAAACCCTGAGTTGTCCAGACAAGCCTCCATCATCTTTCAACTTTTCTCCGCGCGATATGTGATCTGAGGTGTCTCTTTCCCAAGTGGAGTAGGTGCCCAGGCTACTCAAACCATATGGCTCAATCTCTTATTATAATCAGATCATTAAGATTCTTTAAATAGGTTCAGCCAGAAAGACCGCCCTTCCCTTTTACATATTCGCTCGCATCACCTTACATGTCACATGACCGCACAACAAGAGCTGATAATACTTAGATATGCGCCCGCTCACAGTTTAAATCAAAAATAAATAACACCAATGACCATGAATACATATTTTTCTTGAGCGATAGTCTGAACTACTTAAAGGAGTACTCTCATAACTTTAAGTGTATGACCTTTATGTTGGAAATTTCGCGCAATGAAATGGGCGTAGTATTTCTGGAACGAAAGGAGAAATTGACTAAAAGACCAAAATAATGTAAAAAAATAAAAAATAAATCTTTATTCTATCAGAAAAATTTTGACTGGAAGGTTAATGACAAAATCAAAATACCATCAGGCATAGCAAGAGAAGTGGTGAGCGCATTCTACGAGCTCAAAATTGGACATGGACACAATAAGTCGTACCTGTACAGGCGAGGACTCAGTGACAGACGTTGATGTGGGAATAGAGAAACGCCTGAAAACCTTTTATTCAGCTGCAGCAACTACAGGCACGAACTGTTAATATTTCTATCTTGATGTCGACCCGTACAAACATACCGTATGGAGGGCAAGACTGAACACCTGTACGCGGTGTCCTCTACGAACCTGGGAGTGAAATATTCTCCCAGAGCCAAGTTCAGTCAAACTTCGCAATACCGAACAAGTTGGCCTACGAGGCAATGATTCAAAATACTCCACCATATCAATCTTTCACTCCCAACGAAATCGATTCCTACCTACACCTCATCAAGTTCACAAGTACGACCTAGTACATCCTAATCCCAATGACCACACCTCTTGTCGACTTTCTCTGGCCTTAGCTGGTCGCCAGATACACGCCCACGCCGATATTTACACCCGACGGAGGAAGCAAAGCGTGGCGCACAAATCTGGAAGACAATTCCTTGGGATAGATGTGAGAGGGATCAGGACAAGTTAATAAGATGATGCAGAGGATTGGATACAGTCTCGACGGGCGTGGAATTTTGAATTTTGGAAAGGAGTTTTTACAAATTGAGCTTTGTGCGTGCCAAGTCTTCGGCTGCGAGAGTGCAGGCGACACTGTAAAAACTGCCATGGTTGGATGGTGCGGTGGTACATCGTCTTGGCCGGTCTGCCAAGTAGAGTCTGGATAGCTTGGACACATATCCCACTTGAGACAGCAGATCGCTAGTTCGAATCCGGCAAAACACAACCACTTTTCTCGCGGCGCTGGTATGCATGGATGACGAAGGCATGCTTGGATAGCCAGAGGTTTTTAAATTCCCTTTGGTGGGTACTAACGGAGGAGGGTCGACTGTTTGTGTAAGCAAACATACCTCATAGTGGTATTTGCAAATGAAATCCAGAGTATGAGTGTCTCTAATGTCAAAAGAGTCATCCAATATGTACACATAGCACCGGTCATGTGTCATAGCTAGATAGCTGAATACACATTAAATGATTCAAAAAAAAAAAAAGCCGCTCATATATACATCAGTTAGCCTGAAGCATTACTCTATTACTCATTCTAACCTCTTAACTTTACACAAGATTGCGTCGAAAACTTAGACGAAGTGGAAGGCCGATACGTCCGCAACACTCTATGTCTCCATTTCGAACACTTTATCATACCAATACTGATCAGTGGTTGAATTGTCAAGTCTCGTCATGCAACCGTTGAATAGCAAGGTATCATAACAGGGAAACTGTTTGCGTGGCTAGGCTGAAGAATGT